ACTCCCTTCATTCTCTAAGGGTCCTGTCTGTCATGGTTATCTCTTCATCCACAAACTTGGGTTCTAGTTACATAGTCATAAAAAAAAAGGGAATAAAAGGTGAATTGCAAAAAGAAAAAAAAAAAAAAACCACCACAATTCAGTGGAAGGAAGGACAGTCTTTCTTTTTAATAAGCTTCTGTTTATCAGAAGATATCAAGGAAGTGATAAGACATAACTGAGAAGATACTTTTCAATACATGAAATTTGACAAAAGGTTCATACCCAGAATATATTGTTAAACATTTCTAAATCAGCATGAGACCAACAACCTAGTAATATAAAAAAAGTAAATGACCTGAATAATCACTTCACTAAAGGAGATATCCAAATAAGCAACAAACGTGAAAAGATGCTCAACATCATTAGTCATCAGAGAAATGGAAATTAAAACTTAGTAACACACCACAATGACTAGAATGGATAAAATTAATTAGACTATCAAGTTCTCAGAAGGATGTAATGTAACTGGAACTCTTACATAGCTGGTGGAAAACAGTTTAAATATTACTTTGGAAAACAGTTTAAATATTACTAAAGCTAAGTATATTTCTGGCTCTACATCTAACAAAAATAAGAGTTTAGGTCCTCCAAAAGACATACACAAGAATACTTACAGAAGAGGAAATCAAGATGGCAGCGGTAGAGGACGCTTAGCTCACCTCCCCCCAGGAACCATCTATTTTGGAGCAGGTCTCACTGAAAACAATCTGGAGACTGGCAGAAAGACTCTTACACAACTAAGGCTATAAAAAAGATTCATAGAGTTGGGAAGGAAGGGAAGAGAAACAATCAGTTCAGGACCTGTGCCCCTAGGAGGGGACACAGAAAAGGAGGGTCAAAGATCCTCCCTGGTGGGGGGGGGGGGCAGTTCCAACCCCTTATTGGGCAGCCTAGCCCTGGGGTCCGACACCAGGAAGATAAGGCCTCTTGGCTGGTATGAAGACCAGTGGGACCTGCAGTGTGGGGAGTTGTGAGAAACTTGGACTCCACTCTTGAAGTGCACACACATGCTTGCTTGCTCAGGGAACAGGCAGAGGAAGCAGACTGAGACTGCAGAAATTGGGCTGGTTCCTGTAACTGACCCAGCACATGCCCCAGCCCACACAAAGCACCCGCTCCAGCCCCTCTTGCTCCACAGTGCAGCTCCCCACTAGGGCAAAGGCTGTTGCTACTGAGGAGCCTACGCAGTTCAGGGCATGGAGCTAGGTTGGACCTGACACTACATCTGAATGGTATGAGGGGGGGCCACTACCAGTGCAGGGAGGGGCAGCAGATCAGGAGTGTCCTAGAACACTGACTTGTGTGCCAGGACAAGCACAGAGTGCACCCTGGCTCGCACTGGGCACACACGCCAGTCCCTCTTGCTCCAACCACTGCTTCCTTCTGGGGAATGGAACCAGCTCCGACCCGACCCTCCAGGCTTCTGCTCCACTAACTTAAGACCTGACACCAGCCCTGGCCCTGGTAGGCAGTGTCAGCCACTGAGCATAGGAGGAGCCCTGGCTGACACCTGGCTTCTAGCCCCTCCACCTCCAGCCCTAGCCCTCAGCAAGGTGTAGGTGCCAGAATACCCTGGGGGGAGATACTCCCACCAAAGCCACTGGGCACACATAGACCATATAGGGACCCACCCAAGGACACCACTCCAAGACCAGGATAGGTAACTGTTTCCCCTAATTTCACAAAGACAGAGAAAGTTAAGAAAAATGAGAAGACAAAGGAATTTGTTTCAAACAAAAGAAGAAGAAGAAAACCCTAACAAAATCAACTAATGAAACAGATATAATTTACTAAAGATTGTAAAGTATTAGTAATAAGCATGATAAATGAACTAGTGAAAAGAATATATGAACACAGTAAGAATTTTAACAAGGAACTAGAAAACAGAAAAAAAAACACTTGGAGGTGAAAAACACAATTAGTGAAATGAAAAATACAGTAGATGGAACTAACAGCAGAATAGGTGATATAGAAGGATGCAGAAGTGATCTGGAAGATAAAATAATGGAAATCTAATGAGATTAGCAAAAAGAAAAACTTAAAAAAAGAAGGATAGTTTATAAAGGACCACTGGGACAACATCAAGCATACTAATGCTCTCATTATAGGGGTACCAGAAGGAGAAGAAAGAAAAAACAGGTAGAAAACATATTTGATGAAATTATGGCTCAAAACCCTGAACCTAAAGAATAGATATTCAGGTCCAGGAAGCACAGAGGGTCCCAAACAAGAAAAACCCAAAGAGACTTACACCAAGACATATCATAATTAAAATGGCAAACATTAAAGATAAAGAGAATTCTAAAGGCAGCAAGAAAGAGTCACGTATAAGAAACCCCAATAAGGTATCAGCTGATTTGTCTGCAGAAATTTTTCAGGCCAGAAGGGAGTGGCATGAGATATTTAAAGTGTTAAAAGGGAAAACCTTCCAACATAGGATCCTCCACCCAGCAAGATTATCATTCAGAATTGAAGAAGAGATAAAGAACTTCTCAGACAAGCAAAAACTGTAACAGTCATCAATACTAAACTGACCTTATAAGAAGTGTTAAAGGATCTTCCTTAAGTGAAAAAAGGTGGGAGGAAGGTACAACAAGAAATAAGAAACTATAGGATGGAGAAAATCCCACCAGAAAAGGCAAAAATATAGTAAAGGCTGTAGATCAACCACTAAAATAAGCTACTGTGAAAGTTAAAAGACAACATTTGTAAAATAAACTGTAACTACAATAAACAGTTAAGAGATAGACATGAAGATGTAAAATATGTTAAAAACCAAAACGTGGGGGAATGTAGATCTTCTAGAATGTGCCTGAATTTAAATGACTATAAGTTTAAAATAAATACAGTTCTAGGTCAACATATATGAACCACATGGTAACTACAAATCAAAAACCCACAATAGTTTGTTTTTCTAATAAAACTCCCAGCAAACAAAGGTCCAGGACTGGGTGGCTCACAGGGGAATTCTACCAAACACATAACAAACTACTAATACCTACCCTTCTCAAACTATTTGAAAAAACTGAAGAGAATGGAACACTCCCAAATTCAGTCTACAAGGTGACAATTACCCTGATACCAAAACCAGACACAAGTACAGACCAATATCTCTGAGGAAAATAGATACAGAAATCCTCAATAAAACATTAGCAAACCAAATTCAACATTATATAAAAAGGATCATATGCCACGATCAAGTGGGTAGATTTATTCAAGGGATGCAAGGATGGATCAATATCCACAAATCAATGTGATACACCACATTAATGAAAGAAAAAATGCTTTTTCTAGACACAGAAAAAGCATTTGACCAAATTCAACATTCATTCACGATAAAAACTCTCATCACAGTGGGTATAGAGGGAGCATATCTCAACGTAATAAAGGCCATTTATGACAAACCCATAGCCAACATCATACTCAATGGTGAAAAGCTGAAAGCCTTCCTGTTATTTCCAGGAACAAGATAAAGATGCAGACTCTCGCCACTTCTATTTAAACACGGTATCAGAAGTCCTATCCACAGCAACCACAGACACAAAGAAAAAATAAAAGGTATCCAAATTGGAAGGGAAGAGGTATAACTGTCACTATTTGCAGATAATGCTCCTGGGTATATATCCGGAGAAAACGAAAACACTAATTTTAAAGGATACATGCACCCCGGTGTTCACAGCAGCATTTACAATAGCCAAGACACGGAAGCAACATAGGTGCCCATTGACAGACAACTGGATAAAGAAAATTATATACACACACACACATATATATACACACACACAACAGAAGAGTACTCAGTCATAAAAAAAAAAATAAATTCTGTCATTTGCAGGAATGTGGATGGACCTAGAGGATATCATGCTTAGTGAAATAAGCCAGAAAAAGACAAATACTGTATATCAATTACATATAGAATCTAAAAAGATAATGCAAATGAGTGTATATGCAAAACAGAAACAGACTCACAGATACAGAAAACAAACATGGTTACTGAAGGGTGGAGGGACGAATTAGGTGTTTGGTTTAACAGATACAAACTACTATGTGTAAAATAGATATGCAACAAGGATATATTGTACAGCACAGGGAATTATAGCCATTATCTTGTAATAACTTATAATGGAGTATAATCTGTAAAAATATTGAATCACTGTTGTATACCTGAAACTAATGTAACATTGTAAATCAACTATACTTCAATTAAAAAATATAACACCATTTTTCAAATACCCCCAAATTCAAAATAAATATATTTTAAAACAAGTATGTTTCAAATATGTACCCCAATTATATTTCAATAATAGAATGGACAGATAAATTCTGGGATAGTCACGATGGAACACTGCACAGCAATTTAAAGCAATAAACAAACTACTAATGTATATGACATATATATCTCACAGACATAGTACTGATCCAAAGGCGGCAGACACTACACACACACACACACACACACACACACACACAGTATATATACACATTTACATATTGTGTGTATGTATATACATAGTGCACATATACATAGTACCTACTGTATGACTACAGTTATCTGAAGTGAAAAACAGGCAAACTTGATCTATGATAATAGAAGGGGGAGATGTTATTTACTGGGAGGAGGACACCAGGGAGCCTTCTGGGGTGCTAAAAACATGTTCCATATGCTCACCTTGACAATGGCTATATAGGTGTATGCATATACAAAACTTTATTTACTTGAACACTTAAACATCTGTAAAAAAAAAAGGATACCATTTGTGTATAAGAGTGACACTGGGGAGACACTGCACGATTCAGTGACACTGGATATTTGAGTCATGTTAACATGCTACTTCCAAAGGTCCAGAGCCACTAAAACATGATTCCTGAAGACCATTTCAATGGCCTTAATCTCTGAACTACCCCTTTGTGATCTGGTTTCCTCCTACACTCTGTCTGGCTCATACTCCCAGACTCACCTGGGACACTCTGGCTTGGGGACTCTTCCTCCAATATCCATGGCTCCTCTCCTTGCTCCAACTTGAGGATCACTTCCGGTTTAGGGATGCAAAACCCTGTGAATGAGAATTATATGACATGAGACAAATTGGATGAGTGTCAGGGTCTTTGATAACACTGTTCTCAAAGAGTATACAATTAAAAAAAAAAAGCTCATCTCATCCTGTTATGGGGCAGAGGACAACACATTCTTTCTGGTACCCAAAAGGAATAAATTGTCCTTGGCCTATAAATCCCAAACCTAAATATTATTATATACTACAAAAATTCCACAGGTTTCTGTAAATAAGAAAGGACATGTATACTGGGGGTCTACATGGGAAATAAGCGCTACCTACCTACTGAGATGAGGTGGCTGTAGTTCTCCAGCATCACGTCCCTGTACAGCGTCCTCTGAGCAGGGTCCAGGTGCTGCCACTCCTCCTGGGTGAAGCCCACAGTCACATCCCTGAATGACAGTGATCCCTAGAAAAACACACTTCTGCTCAATCTGCAGTGGTCAGAGTCAGGTGATGTGGAAAAAGAATTTTAAAGACTAATTCTTACCATTTTTCCTGCTGAAAATTGACCAGAACATGTTACAAAGGACCTCTACTATATAGCTTGCTTTGTGTTACACTTTGTGATTAAACAAGAAACCATGGTAGAAATACCATTGGTGGATTAATTTATTACTTAATGGAAAAATATCTGCATGCCTTTATGTGCCTAAAAGTGTCCTAGTTTTTGAGAATTCCAAGTTGAAAAATATAATCTTCCTGGCCTCAAAGAGCTTATTCTCATAAGGAAAGATATAAAGATATACCTACCATAGGACTTAAAGGACCCATATCACAAATATGTACAATGCAGACAGATCATAAAGGGGTTCTGTGCAAGTTCATGTGAGAGTATCAGCACCCTGGATTTCACTGAGCAGATAAAACTTTCAGTGCTTAAATATAAATAGTAGTTTCTTTGCAAATATGCAGCAAAACTGCAAGAAATGTTAAGAAGACCTGAAAAAACATGTGGCAAGTCAATGGACTGTACAACAGGACAGGAGAGCAGGTCTGAACCTGTGATGAGATAAGAGGCTGCAGAGGCAGGGGCAAAAGGTTCAGGGGAGGAAACTAGGGAAGATATTTGGCTTAAATTCTGTTGGTGATCTCCAAATATTTCATCACTCATCTAATCCATAAAATTCTTGAGGAACCACCAGTTTTATTTATATTTATCTATAAATTAAATACTGTCAATTCACATATGAGGAGAGCTTAATTCTGTTCTTACTTTTCAGATATAAATATAAATAAGCTAATATTTTCTTCCCATGCCCTAAAGGACTGACAGTATATGATGTATGCAGAATTATCTTGCACATTCCCTTAGGGCACAGCCTCTCTCTCTTCCCCCATCTCCACTCACCCTAGGTCATTGCTGTGAACAGCATGAAGCCAATAGTGAAATGGAAATACACACTTCCGTCCTAGTTATATAAACTAATTGTTGCTGAGGAAGCAATGATCCCAAAGTTGGTTTGTTGTTTTTTTTCAAGTGAATCATTTAATGTGTGAGGCACAGTTTGATATTACCATAAGTATTAACAGAAGAAAATGGGAAAGTATAAACATTTCCCCTTCTATCAAAAATGGGTTTGAAGCCAGGATAAACTAGCCTGTTGATTTAACATAGCTGATTAAAAAGGCTAGAGAATCTGGAAGTAAAAAATGTACTTGGAAGCAATGTCCTCTGAGGCTTCATTCTCCTGAGGGCAGCAAGATGCTGAAAAATTTAACTGGCCCAAAAATTATATTGAGAGATCAAAAATAAGAGCTAGTCACAGCTTGGGAAAAAATTTGGAGAACAGATGACACTAAATGTAGTTAGATTAATAATTCTAAAGTTTCCCTGGAGTTATAATATAGCACTCTGAGCTAACCAAAGGGGCTACAAACTCATGCTCCTTTGAACAGAGTGGTTCTAAATGATAGATTCTCGAGTGCACCCAGCTGTATTTTCAAGTATAATTCTAGTATTTGTACCTAGCAATACAGAAGAAAAAGCAGCAGGGAGGAAGTGTCAAGTATATAGGACATGAAAGGATTTGGCAGCCCTAGAATTCCCAGTTTGAATCTTGGTCATCAGGAAAATCCCATTCCAGCTCAGTCCAAAGTGAGGCTGGAGGTGGTGCTGTGGATGGCCTGTGACAAGCAGGAGGCAACAGTGTAAGTGCTAAACTCTGGCTTTCTTCCTTCATCTGCTAAAGAAATTCAAAATAAGGCTGTATGAAGAAAACGTGGGATAATACACTGCTTGCTGATGGCCTTTTCTCAGGATCTTGTTGCAGACAGAGCTGTACCAAGCTAAGGAAGACAGGAGAGAATGTTTTTGAGGGCAGTGTTTGCAATCTGTCACTATTTACTGTGCGAGTTCCACTGGAGACGTGTACACTTTCTCCAATCCCAGAGTCTACACCTGATTGGGAACTTTTCATTCTGGATTCTGATTGAGGGAAAATACTGATATCCAGTGGGCTCTGAGGAGGACCTTTCTGTAACAACATCTGAGTCCTATGCATGTCCTGGAAAGGTACCTGCCCACTGGCCAATTCACATGCTGTAATCCCAACGCTGTAAATATCTGTGCTGGATTGCCTCTATTAAGAGGGGAGTCGCCTATATTATTAGCGGAGATGCTAAACAGGGAACTTGCTGAGCAAAGGGAGAGAGGAAGAGTTACTCCCAGAGGGTCTGCATGATCTGCCTTGGAGGTTCTGGAAACCTCTTGTCAAGTCTGGGGAAACAGGAGGAAGAGCAGGGTAGATGCACAGTGACAATGAAACAGATGCTAGACATACAGTATGCCAGATATCTTCAGAACATGGAAGTAGAAATATCAACTGGAAGTTTGGATAGATGAATCTGGAATTTAGAAGTGTAGTATGAAAATAAGGATTAGGGTGAAAATTGCAACTCTGTCACTGGAGTCACCAGAGTGAATCAGATGGTCACAGAGGAGACAAATTGAGGAAAGAAAAAATACCAGCACAGAATTTGAGGGATCACCAATATTTGAGAGGCTGGCAGAAAAAAGAAAAATAGGCTTTGAAGGCTGAGAAGAAATTTTCTGAAATGTAAGAACAGAACCAGATGACAAAAGAATAGTGGGAAATAATAACACAGTTTCACAAATAACTGACACTTCCAATTAAAGATGGTGCACTTAAAACACACATCTATCTCTGATACCTCCAACAATATAAGTGGAAGAAACAATAAAAAGTAAAACAAACAAATGTGCCAATAACAATACACCAGAAAGACAATTTTGTGCAACTTCTGGATGATATAAGTGGATAGTATCAGACAAAAGAAACTAGAAGCATGGTACCTACAATTTATACAAGCACAGAAGTGGGCAGAAGCAGCGGCTTCCAGCCACAGCCAGAGACTACAAATCTCTAAGCCCTCCAACCAGGGCCAGGGGTCAGCATAGGTGCTAAGATGAATGACTGGTAAAGTAACTCACTGACAAAGTAACTGACTCCTAGGGCACCTTGGTGGACCTCCACTCTGTGGAGATCCAGCAGTTAATGAAAACCAAAGCTGAAGTGCAGCCATTCTATAAAGTCAGGACACTTTTTTTTTTTTAAACATAACTATATACAGTTGGCCCTCCATATGGACATGTTCCACATCCACAGATTCAACCAACCACAGAATTAAAATATTTGGGGGAAGAAAAACTCCAGAAAGTTCCAAAAAGCAAAATTGAATTTGCCACATAACAGCCATTATTTATATAGAATTTACATTGTATTTACAACTATTTACATGGCATTTACATTGTATTAGGTATTATAAGTAATCTAGAGACAATTTAAAGTGTATGAGACGATCTACCACAAAGGAGGTGAGAATATACAATGGGGAAAAGACAGCTTCTTGCTGGGAAAACTGGACTACTTTCTCACACCATAAAAAATAAAATGAATTAAAAACTTAAATGTAAGACCTGAAACCATAAAACTTCTATAAGAAAACATGCAGGGGGGACTTGCTGGTTCAAGCCCTGGTCCGGGAAGATCCCACATGCCTTGGAGCAACTAGGCCCACGTGCCACAACTACTGAGACTGTGCTCTACAGCCTGTGAGCCACAACTACTAAAGCCTGTGCACCTAGAGCCCATGTGCCACAACAATAGAAGCCACCACAACAAGAAGCCCACACACCGCAACAAAGAGTAGCCCCTGCTCAACGCAACTAGAGAAGGTCCGCACGCAGCAATGAAGACCCAATCAGCCAAAAATAAATAAATAAAATTAATTAAAAAAAAAAAGAAAGAAAACATACACAGGGTATTTCCCTGGCAGTACAGTGGTTAGGACTCTGCATTTCCATTGCAGGGGGCATGAGTTCAATCCCTGGTCAGGGAACTAACATCCTGTAAGCTGTGCTGTGTGGCAAAAACAAACAAACAAAAAATAGGCTCTCTGAACAAATGTGTGGACACCAAGGGGGGAAAGTGGCAGGGGGTGGTGGTGGTGTGATTAATTGGGAGATTGGGATTGACATGTATACATTAATATGTATAAAATGGATAACTATTAAGAACCTGCTGTATAAAAAAATAAATAAAATTCAAAAATAAATAGGCTCTCTGACATCTTAGCAATGGTTTGGATATTCTGCTCAGGCAAGGGAAACAAAAGCAAAAACTACCCAGTGGGACTACGTCAGACTAAAAAGCTTTGTACAATGAAGGAAGCTATCAACAAAATGAAAAGGCCGCCTAATGAATGGGAGAAGACATTTGCAAATGGTTATCTCCAACAAGGGGTTAACATCCAAAATATACAAAGAACTCATACAATTTGACATCAGAAAAACAATCCAATTAAACCCAGGCAAGGAACTGAACAGACATTTATCTAAAGAAGATATACAGATGGCCAATAGACACATAAAAAGATGCTCAACATCACTGATCGGGGAAATGCAAATCAAAACCACAATGAGATATCACCTCACATCTGTCAGAATGGCCATTACCGAAAAGAAAAATAACAAGTGTTGGTGAGGATATGAAGAAAAGGGAACCCTTACACGCTGTTGGTGGGAATGTAAACTGGTAAAGCCACTATGGAAAAGAGTAATGGAGAGTCCTCAAAAAACTAAAAACAGAGCTACCATACAACCCAGCAACTCCATTTCTGGCTATTACTGGCTATTTATCTGAAGAAAATAAAAATGCTAATTTGAAAAGATATTCGCTCACCCCCCCACACACATGTTCACTGCAGCATCATTTACAACAGGCAAGATGTGGAAGCTACTTAAGTGTTCATCAACAGATGAATGTATAATGAAAATGTGGTATGTATGTGTGTGTATACATACACACAAACACACGTGTACACAATGGAATATTACTCAGCCATAAAAAGAATGAAGTCTTGCCACTTGTGACAACATGGGTGTAC